TAGTACGTAATCGTTACTTTTCCGACCCCCACCCTTACCCCCCCCCCCCCCCACACACCCCATACTCATTTAAATGAAGAGACGTGTTGCTCGCATCATCATTAATTTAGAAAGATAATTTTGATCCTTTATATTTCCTCATCTTTTTACTTTTTGATAATAAAATTATATAAATTGGACTATTATTTTAAAATATATTTTTTCACCATATTAACATGAGAAGAATTACAACTTACAGCATTTTTCATATAGTTTTTAAATATTTAAATTTTAATTTTAAAATATTAAACAATCTAGCTTCAAATATTAGTCAAATTATCACGAAAAGCAAAAAGGTTACATAAACTTATACGAAGGAAGTATATATTTACATACCAAAGGTTTTAAAATTTTTGTAAACTCGGTGTCCAATTAAATTTGGATAAAATACCGTGTCATTATGGAGTAATTTTTTAGTTTTCTCTTTTATTTTGATATATGAATAATGCACAGTTGGTTTAACACTTTACCTAGTAGTAATAGATAATCCAAATTCCTATCCAAGTCTGGTGGGACAGAGTAAGAGTCAAAAAAACTTATTGCCACGAAAGGAGACAGCACTTTGGTATTCGGACGAAGTGAAGCCCCACTACGGAGACAGTAATTTGCTAGTTATTTGACGCCTCTGCATCCACCAAGGGAAATTGCGGACAAAATATGATTTTTTTTTTTTAAAAAAAAAAGTTTTCCAATTACATTACGACATACGAAAGGAAAGGAAACAATATATAAGAATTGAACCAAAATATATGTCGTAGGACTGCTTCAGTACTATTAGACTATCAGTCTTAATGAACACATAATTATTTGTTAACATGTTAAATTATTCAGTTACTCCCTCCATTCCACTTTGTTTAGAGGGTTTCGAAGTACGTTGGTCAAAGCAGAGACGGATCCAGAATTCAAGTTCTATGAGTTCAATCTTTAAAGCTTTTAGCATTGAAGTCATTGTATGTTTAAATTATGCGTTCATACATACTAATTTTGTACTTTTTAATGAATTTTTACACATAATTTATGATTCGCGTCAAAAGTATTGAGTTCAGATGAACCTGATACCACCACTCACATCCGCCCATGGGTCAAAGTAGTTAATTGTTTCATTATTTGTGTGAATTCCTGCTGATAAAAGGAATTAACCTGCTCGCTTGCCATATCCCTTTCTTTATGTATGTATTTTTGGATGTTAATATTAGAAGGGTCTATGTAATGATCTGTTTATGACATTTTTATTGTTATTGTGTACTGTAATTAATTGGTATTTTACAGTCGGTTATATTTGAAAGTTAATTAGCAAAATAGGGAGAGAATGTGTTGAGGGCATGATGCAATGTTGGGTAAAAGACAAGGTGCTGCTTACAAGAAAGGGGAGGTAATATGATAGAGAGAAATTGTAATGGTGGATAAAGTATAAAAGCACTTTCCAAAATGTTGAGTGAGTTTAGTACCCAAGGGGAAATACGGATTGAAAGAATTCCACCGAGAGCGAAGATTGAGGATTTTCAATGATGAGGTATCATTTCTGGGATAACCCTACACACATTGAGACCCTACATTAGGCTCCAGTTGCTTCGGT